ATATATATATATATATATATATATGTATATATATATATTTAGATTTTTATATCAGATTTAAAAATAAAGGAGACAGATCCTTGACGTTTAATTTCTCATGCATATTAGCCGCGGATCATTTGGTGTATAAAGTTTCATACATGTTTACGTTCTTTACGGCCTCGACAGGCTGAAATAAGTTCAAAGAAACTCTCAGAGTAAACGATTCGCCTTTGTGCCATGGAGGTGACGAATTATCTAAATAAAAAAAAAATGTAGCTTGCAAGAGGATCGCGCGGTGGATGATAGCATCCGCAGCTGCGAACATGTGAAAATTCGAAACGGATGCGAGAAGAAATCGTAAGCTATGCTAAAAAATTCTTTAAGAGGCACGGCGATGGCCTCGTCCGAACCGTCAACACCAGCGAGTCCTGGTCCTAGCAGTCCTCTAGGCTTTGAAACAACACCCAGGCCACGTAAAAAGCTTTCATTCAAGGAGAAACCGGAGACTTTCAACTTCTTCAAATTACGGAAACCGTCTACACGGCCGAGACTGATACACGCGCAAAATAGCATCGACCTCAGCTTCGATGAAAATCCTTTCGAAGAGGAAAACGAAGATCTCGATGAACTCGAGGTAAAATCTTTACTCTATTCTGACTGAATATGAAGAAAACTATATTTTTCTAAACGATTGAATGGAGTTATCGAGAAACGATCGACATAGGAAGCTCGCTGATATATCTTTATAATATTATTTATCGCTCGAAAATCTTGTTCTTTTATTAAATAATATTCTTATTACAATAATCAGATGTTGTTCTGCGTACTCGTGAAATTGCGCACGCGAGATGGTTAGACGAGAAAATAAGATGAATGTGATTTAATTAGAGTCAAGCAATGAGGGTAGTCAGAACAGTCGGGCAAGCTTTCGAAGTGTGCCATAAGTTAAGCATAAACAACACTACGGAGGATCGGGGAGAGAAGGACGGGGAGAATCACGGTGAAAATTACGGTGATGTTTACGAGGACCAAGACGAAATTCCTAACGAGCAATCTCAGCCTTCTCCGACGCCGGTACATAAAGGTAAATGTCAATGATGATGTCTAGCATAACCAATGTTTGGTGTTTTTTTCGTCTCTTTCGATTTTATTTTAATTTTACGACAGAAGTAATTTTAACAAGATCAGATTATATAAAAACAATAAAAAAGATCCCTCTTCAATCCTTTTACTTTCATCTCCGCTTCCGTTTGTAACGCCTGTCACTTCTCTTGTATTTCAGACATATCGTTATTGGGGGATACTGAAGATTCGGTACCCGAGCAAACGTCCGTTACCTGTCTACTTCGATCGCACGATGGACCGGCGACGACAACCTCTACCTCACCAATCAGACAGTCGCCGTCGGTGAGACAATTGGAAGCGTATAAATAGGATGAAATCGGCGCATGCTATTTTAAAATAAAATCGTCATTAACCTGAACCTGTATCATGCAAGTGATAGATACTTTGCGGAATGCTTTGGCAGCTACGATGAAGTCAAAGCCTTAAAATAAAATAGCTCGTTATCTTACTCTTGCTTTAGTGGTTAACGTATTGTTTACCACTTTCCAAGTTCTGTCACTGGTACAACTCGTAAATTCTAAAACGTTTTTGCGCTCCATTTCGCAACAGCTTGTACTCTTACTTACTTATGAATTCCATGACAATTCAATTCGTGTATACTTTGAAGTAATTCTTTTATGTCTAACACATAGTGCCCTTTGCACGAACTCGTTCTTGCATTTTTTTTTTTCTTTTGTCGGTATATCTTGCGATATTTATTTATAATAACGTACACAACTTTATGAGTATCGATTTATTTGTTTCCTTTTTATAGGGCACGGTGACCTCCGAGTGCGGAGGTTTATTGGTGGGAGGAGAATTAACAGCCCTGAAGCATGAAATACAGCTTCTACGTGAACGTTTGGAGCAGCAGAGTCAACAAACCAGAGCTGCTGTTGCCCATGCGCGACTTCTTCAAGATCAGTTGGCGGCGGAAACGGCAGCGCGTGTCGAAGCTCAGGTATAAATAAGTGAATCAATTACCAGAACACATAAATATTTCAACACTTATCTATGAGCGATTTATAGCCGTACGAAACCTAATTTATCACAATATCTTTCTTTGTCAAAGCGAACGTTTAGCAAATATAAGACGATTTATACGTTTTTTTATCGCTATAATCTTTTTCTATCCTTTTATCATATCTTATTACGTTATCGACTGATATTATCCGTGTACTTTCTGCATAAAAATGCGAAGAAAATACTTGACGAAATGTCCATCGATTATTTTGATACAGAAAAGTTTTAACAGTTGGGACTTTACTTTAATTATGAATACGATTGTTTCTCATTTCAGGCGAGGACGCACCAACTTCTAGTGCAGAATAAGGAATTACTAGAACATATAAGTGCGCTGGTCGGCCACCTGAGGGAACAGGAGCGTGTTTCCGGTGGTCATGTCACCTCGCAATCGCAAATTCCGACGCCCGCGTCCATGCAACAAAATGCAGCGGTTTCCGACCTATCAGGTCTCGGCCAGGTAACGCTCTACCGAATTCCATGACACGAGTGCTCCGGCGGAGTTTGGAATCGAAGCACCGACTGACCGAAACGGCGTTGCATCTCGATTAATGTTTAACAGAATGCATCTTGTACTTCTTTTTTTTCTCTCTTTTTTCTCTGTTTTAATACCGTTAACGCCTTTTTGTACCGATTTCTCCTTTTTTTTTTTTTAACTTTATAATAAAACGTTTTATACACACTTTTGGTTTTGCACCTCCTCCCCTTACATTACATTTTATACCGGCGAATGTGTTTGCGTACCTCCGATTGTGTAATGTTTCTTTTACACCCTGATGATTTAGCGGTGCACGCACTATGTTTTAGGCGTTTTCGTTTGGTGCCGATAAGACGTCGACAGCGAAAACAGCCGTAGCTTCGACTATTTGTATTTTTTGCGCGAGCATTTCCGCTTCGACCCTCACGGCGCAAAAATTACAAAACGACAATCAGAAAGATCGCTGATCGAAATCTGTACTAACATCGGTAAAAATAATCGGGGGGCGAATGAGTTTTGTACGTTGCTCGAGTGATTTGATTTGAACGCAGTGCGTTGCGATATACCTTGTCTCTTGATTACTTACACGTGCATTTGCATCGAGGTATCTAATTGCGAAAAATTAATTTCATACTAAGATACGACTAATCTAATAACAAATTAAGCACCAGTATGACGGTGTTGTCTAACAGGTCTTCGCACGGGATTTTGGAGTACATGCTGCCAACGAATGCTAGGTAATATTATCACTCATTACTAAAATCTATCGGTATAAACGATCATAGTCAGACATCAAAAGATGGCTCAGTTCCAAAATATCTAACAAAATATCCGAAAATAGAAAGAGGTAAGAGAACAAAGATGCATAGATTCAAGAATTTTTAATGTACACAATTTTTTTAGATAATTCGCATTTTCTACACATATTAATTTAAATCCACATGTTAGTTATACATGAAATTATATTCAAATTTGCATATATTTATGTATATATTCGGATTTAAAAAAATGAAGATTTTATAATATATATATATATACAGGATGGTCCTTAATTATATATATTAATGCTTTATAAATCGAATCTAGAGCTCAAAACATTTTAAAAATAAACATGCATATACTACTACTGTATAACAAGAACATTTTTTGAAATTAATTGTAACTCAGAAAATATCATCTATTGTATACGATCTACATTGATATGACATATTTCTCTGTTCTGAACTTTAGATTCACCTCTTAAGAAATAACCAAGAATCATTCCTATATGAGAATAAGTATATATAATTATATAACATAGCTATAACATATATTCAAACAAAAAAGACGAGGGACAATTTTATATGTCTTGAATATCGTGGGCTTCAAAGATCTTGTTCCCCAAACTGCGTATTCTCGGATAGTGCCAACGGACCGGGGGCCAGAGTTCGCCATGGGAACTGGACCCACCGACCTTTCCTTACTGTACATATCCATCTGAATCGCTGTATTCCGGTGGTCTCGGCGCTATGGGAATCCAGAGTAATAACACCGCCGCAGATCAACTACAGTTCCAAACGCAGCTGTTGGAAAGGCTACACAACCTAAGCCCGTTTCAGCCTCAGAGATCGCCCTATAATACACCATCGCCATATGCGATGGGCCCAAGTCTACTTCTACCTCCGTGCAGCGGACCAACGGTGAGTATTCCTTGTCACATGGCTGAATTTACGTATAAGTGTCTTAATTTTAAAACAGAAATAAATCGCAAACATAGCCAAACTATCAAAAACTACAATAGTTTTCGTACTGTCCATAATGAATAATTAGTATATAAAATTTTCTTTATTTTTTCATCATATATTTGAAATTCAATGTTATTTCTAGAAAGAAACAAATCTCACGTAACACTTAACAAATTGATTTATTATTATAATTAACGTTAAAAATCCTGCTTCATTAATTTTCAAAAAGCATCTCCTTTACAACTTTTCAGAATTCAGCTCAGCTGTCGCCAAATTCTGCGTCCCTGCGAGTCTCTCAACCAAACAGTTTCTCCTCGTCTCCGATCATGACTCACAAGCTCGAAAATTATGGGACGGATAATTCGGACAACGCTTTCATAAAGCCTTTACCATGCACCAATGATAAAAACATGGCTCATCCGTCGCTCGACGTTAAAGCTAAGCAAGAACGCTTGGATCCTTCCGAAATACCTCCTATAATTCTGGATCCTCCACCACAAGGCAAACGCATAGACAGTATGATCAAGAAAACGAGCACGAAGCAAAGTTCGATAGTTCAAGGCACGCAGGACAATAAGAATAATTTGCAGAATCCGAGAGGTTTGGCGACTATCTTGCGATCCACAGGTCCGCCGCCTTCCCGCACGACGAGTGCTCGACTACCCTCTCGCAACGACCTGATGAGCGAAATGCAGCGAACGACCTGGGCTCGCCACACCACCAAATGACGAGACAATGTCCAACCTACAATAATGCGAATCTGCGTAATCTTTAACACCGAGAAACAAAGTCGACCATTTCGTTAGAATTCGAAGAAAACATATCCAAATGTATCTTATTAGTCACGAATCACGAGAAAAGTTACGCGTGGTTTGACTTAACGGACGACAGGGTTTGCATTTTCTTCTCGATCGCTCAAAGTCAAATCCTTCATATTTAGAGATTTCTAAGATGTATAGTATATGATTTTCCGATACGTTAAATTGGAGTGTAGAAAAATTATTAAACGAGTTGTCAAGTAAAAATTTGTTGCCAATAAGAATTTTGAGAATATCTTTTACAAAGATTTGCTAGAACTTCAGATCACTCAGTATAGATCCAATAAATCATTATAGTATAGCAATATTCCTATGACGAACGTGGAATCACGATTTTCGACAGATTGTACATTCGTTTGTATCCTACGAGTTACGTCCGTGGAATGTTTATAAAAAAATGAAACGATAGTTGCGTTCGGACGAAGTGGAATATAATGGATATATACTTCACGCACGTCTCGCGTGTCCGAGGAGACGGATTGTAATACGTAATTCGTACATTTATTCGTATCGTGACATTTACAGTGTATTCCCATGTATAAAAAGTCGCCATTTAGCGGACGAACTTGTGCCAAAAGTACCAATCGTCTTAAGAGAGTTTATTTTCAGTATATTTTTAAGTAATGTAAAAATAAAGAGATAAGCGTGATCACAGAATTACGGCAATTATATTCTTCCTATCCTTATCCTTGCATCGCAGATTCACTATCACATTAATTAGCTTACTTGAGCAAAGTTTTAAATTAATTTAAGATCCTGCATTAAAAAAAAGCTATTAGAACACGGTTAGTAAGTATTGTATTAAAGGATTTTTAATTTTACTTATATATAATTAATTGTTTCCTTCTCTTTCATCAGTCCTTGGCCTTGTCCTTGGTTTATAGCACTGAACAATTACATTCGTGATATGATTTAATATTTCCGAGTAAAATAACTCAAATTGTCGCGTGTGAGCGGACAAAACGTTCGTTAATCCGATAAAAAAGGAAATGCGTGTTGGGGCGACTTTTAGCATGTATACGTTAATGGCGTGACAACATTCGTTATTGCGAATATGCTGATGGCTATTCAAGTTCCAGCAGACAGTATGTCGGTAGATTGTCACAAGTGACGGATCAGATCATTTCTAAAGAATATTGAATCAAGTATCGGTTCTTTTACTCTTGTCGCGTGTAAATTACTCTGCGTTGCGTACATTAATTGATGTGGTGCCAATCAAACGCTTCTTATTGTCAACAGTCTTTTTTTCAGTTTTTCTATATTCATGCGATCCGAAATTACATTACGTTATCCAACGCATTTTTCTCGCATGCAGAAAATATCGCGTGTACTATTAATATGTCTCGGAAAATATATAATTAATTAGAAATATCATCATTTGTGGCGTACGTATGCAAGTTGACTCAACTCCGTCGATGGATCAGACAAGAATTGCTGGTATTCTAAGACTAGACAAAACGTCACGCTTTCCTGAATTTAGGACCACGCCTTGGACATTAGCTATGCAGGTATTCCAATTTATATACTGAGAATTTTATTTATATCTTTTCTTCCTTTCGTGATTATTTCAAAAAAATAAAACTAGACAATATATTTTTAACTGTGCACTGACTGTTTCCTTTGATTTTATTAGAACTGCGGACTTATATTTGAATCGTTAT